ATATTTACATAAATATTATATATTATATAAATTATGTATAATATAATATATAACATATATTATATATATTATACATTTATATAAATGTACATTTATACATAATGTATATATTAATGTATATTTATAATATACATTTATATTATGTATTTTATATAATATTATACATTTATACATTTATCAATGCACTAGCCCTAAGTCCAACTTTGTAGAGAAAATCAATTACTACTTATTTTTACTCTTTGCTATTTGCAGTTATCTTCCCTCACTTTTGTTATATATGTATTTCATTCCTTTACAATATAGCTTATACACGAGCATAAAAAGGGCATTTGTAGAATAAAAGTACTATCTCTTTTCTCAAAACACTTTTTTAATGGTACTTTTTCTGATTTGGATTGATTTTGTTATCAAAACCTTAACTTCAAAGGAGGTTAGTATAATTTTACAAACCTCAAGGGAGGTTTCTCAAATTATCCCTATATATATACACACACACGCGCGCATTATCCGACAAGCAATGGTTTCTAATATTTATTAGCAAACAAATGGATACTAGCATTTAAGGTCTTTTTTTTATGGTGAATTTATACAAATATGAATAATTTAAGTATAAAAATTAACAACAGTTCTACATATTCATTCATATTAATTTTAAAAAATTAATGTATTTTAAATGTTTAATTATTTATTAATTTTTAAAATTTTGTTTACATACTTTTCACTATAATATGATAGTATACATCAAATGATGTACCCCATATCTAAAACTTGTTAGATATTCTGTTTTATAAATATTCTTTTAGAAAATTTAAATTTTTATAATGACCATAAACCTAAAATTATATATTCATACTTAATTAAGTAGCAAAAGATGCATTAATCCATTTTTCTTCATCAATAAATATTCATTTTTCAATAACATCGATAAATTTATCAATGTAACAGTTAATTCTCTTTTTTTACACTAAGTTAATTCAAAATTAAGAAGAGACGATGAACAATTTGAATATTAATCAATGATATGGTGGTAAAAGGAAGTAATTTATGGGATTTGTAAGATTTCAATGATTGTAATTTAAAAAGGTTTTATTATATTTCTATATAATAATTTGGTAGAAAGCAGATATCATTAAGATAAGATTAGTTATTTTTTAAAGTTATTTTAAAATTAAAGATAATTTTTAAACATATAATATAATCATTTTAATAATTTGATAGAAAGTAAACATCCGTTAAGATAAGATTAGTTATTTTTTAAAGTTATTTTAAAATTAGAGATAATTTTTAAACATATAATATAATCCAAATAGAATTCGGTATGGGTAAAATCCAAGTAATCCATAATTCATTAATTCTCTTAAATTAAACATGCTATATAGAAGTGAGAAACACTATGATTAAAATAGCTACTTTTATATATATATAGATACATACAAAGCATCTAAATTTTCGAAGTATATGATCTACAATCCATCTAAATCTACAGATTTACTAAAAAAATTTACCCATCTTCTTTTGGGTGAGAAAGTAATTAGAAGCAAAGAAAAGAAGCCGATGTTTTTCCTTTTGGGTGAGAAACTTTCTCAATTGTCTCTGTAAAATTTCATTCGGTTGTGGTAAAAACTTGTACTTTCTACACTGCTACAAAGGCGTTAAACCCTAAAAGCAACAAAGGCGGGATTAAAGCATCAGCAAGCATAGGGCTGATACTCAGGCAGCTCCAATCGCTCCGGCCATTCATGGCATCGCCCTCTTCCATGACGACGACGTCGTCTACCACTTCAAAACTCGTATTCTCCGGCTGCTCAACCTCCTCCTCCTCTCCTTGACTACTCCCATTGACCACCGCCACCACCTCCTCCAAATGCAGAGCTTTTCACTTCCACCGCCGCTTCAACCCCCTCCGTCATGTCCATCTGCGTCCGTGCAAATATCCCACAACTGTCTTCGCTCAAACTATCAACCCTCCTTCGTTCATTGCTGGTACAATTCAACTTCGTATGAATTGCTCATAAAGCTTCGTTTTTGTTTTTGAAAATCAAAGTTTATGTCTTTGCTTTATTATGCATGCAGCTTGAGATAAAATTTGACAATTAGGTCAAAAAAATCACGTCTTCAACATTTTGTGATTGTGGGTTTCTTGTCTTTTCATTGAATTTCATCGGGTTTTTGCTTTATTTTTTCCTAATGTTTCTTGAATTTTGTTAATCAGCTGCTATGGCTACTGAACCTTCCGCTAAAGTTATTGATGGAAAAAGGGTTGCTAAAGAAATCAGAGAGGAAGTAGCAGCAGGAGTATCTAAGATGAAGGAGCACTAGGCGTCGTTCCAGGGCTGGCAGTGATCCTAGTTGGGGACAGGAAGGATTCAGCAACTTATGTTCGCAACAAGAAGAAAGCTTGTGAGGACGCAGGAATTAAATCTTTTGAAGCGTGTTTGCCTAAAGACGCGACAGAAGAAGAAGTGCTTAAGCATATTTCAAGTTCTAATAATGACCCTGCGGTTCATGGCATCCTTGTTCAGCTACCTTTACCTTCTGTATGGTTTTGAATATCAATATTTCTTGTCCTTTTTGGATCAAATTCGGTTGCAAAATATGCCTGAATCTACTTTTTTTTTTGCCTGTATAATGGTATGGTTTGTGCTTGAAATGATAAGGGAAAAAAATGTAACTACTTTCAATGGTTTCCTCTGCTATCTTGAGTCAAGTTGAAGTAGAGCTAATTTCTTTTGTAAATGAAGCATTGCACTGAAGTGAACTATTCTTTAATGGATGTTTGTGAATTACAATGTAGCTAATACTTTATTGTGTCTTTTATAATTTTCCCTGGACTTTCATTTCTTCAATATAACATTTTGGGACCATTAAAATTATTCCGTTTGATGAGTGAGGACTAGAAAGCTATACATGTTTACCATTATGATTATCTTGTGTTTCTATATTTGTCTCTCATTGCTCAATGCAAATTGAACTTATTCTCTGCTTCCTTCATTATCTGTAAATTGTAAATTGATTGACTGCTTGATAAAAATGGTTTAGGACAACTTAAGATTCTATAGTAAGAGACTCGGAAGTTACTAATGTTAACTTATAAGTTATTGTTTGAGGTCACTTTTAACACCTGTCTTCATGGATCTTGTACAGCACATCAACGAGCAGAATGTATTAAATGCTGTTTGCATTGAAAAAGATGTGGACGGATTCCACCCACTAAACATTGGACGTCTTGCCATGCGAGATAGGGAACCACTATTTGTGCCTTGCACGCCTAAAGGATGCATAGAATTGTTGCATAGATATGGTGTTGTTATCAAAGGGAAGAGAGCAGTTGTTATTGGCCGGAGTAATATTGTTGGGATGCCTGCTGCTCTATTGCTACAAGTAAGATTATTGCTGGCTGGAAATCTTTCAATTAAAATCTTTCAATTTGAGAAGAAGCCATTAAAATACACGATTTATAACCTCATCTTAAATGGTTTAGGCACACGGACTGTTCTAGTTTCATACATAGCATTCAAAGCTAAAGCCTCTCCCTCAAACATTGATGGTTCAACGCTTCTATTCAAATTTTGGAGTAATGTAAGAACATGAAAGCATGCATTAATCTCTTAGTTTTACAAGAAAAAATAAAAGAAATATATTTTGTTGGTCAAAAAACAAATGCAACATTCATGCTGTTTCATATTCTCTTCTTTTATCAAGTCTCAGATTCATCAATATGTTAGAAGCATACAAACTCATGCTACTTCGTATGGTATCATTACTTGTTTGATGAGTCATTGAAATGGTGGCGCTGCTGAATTGGGAGAGAGATATAGGGACTGAATTGGGAAGAATAGGGAGAGAGATATAGCTTGAAGAGGACGAAACGAAATGTTCTGGACCTGCGTCATTACGTAATAGTCCATAATAACCTTCGTTTGGTTCAAAGTACAAGTGAAAATGAAGGAGGAGGCTACTTCTCCTCATCATCCATCCCACGCACAAATCTTACTGACAGTACGTTTAGTGGAAACGGATGGCTTCATGCACTCACACTGCGACCGAAATCATGTTCATTCTGGAAATCAAATCCAGAATAAGAGAGCGAGTGAAATCAAATCCATTCCGGTATCATTCTGGAAAGAGACTATGTCGCGCAGCTTGTTGAGAAGAATTTTTGCCGTGCACCTTCCATTCCCAACTCCCAACTCCACCGCCTTCCACTACCACCATCCACCACCATCACCCCATTAAACTCTCTCTTTTCGTCCTCCCCAACTCCCCACCCCACTTTACTCCTTCCCGTTCCATCCAATTCCGATGGAAATCCAAACGGCCAACTGATCATTTGAAGCGAAAGGAGCTCCGGTTTTTAACTAAACAATGCCGCTGCAGAGAAGACGGATGCGGGAAATCTTTTAAAACTCCCAAGCAACTGGATGATCATTATAAGCTTAAGCACAAGATTGCAGAGAAGCATTTGATTCGCTGCACATGTGGGAGCCGCTTTCACTCGGCCCAATCACTGTCCGAACACAAGATCAGTGACTGCCCGGTAAAGGGCTTCAGAGATTGGAAGCACTATCGGAAATATGCTGCAAGCAACAGATGGAAAAAGTATGACGGTCCAACAGACAGAGCTGGAGGGGAAGACAAAGAGAAAGAAGAAGAGGAGGAGGAGAAGGGAGAGCCTAGAGAGGGAGAGGAGAAGCATTTTTCGGAAGTCGAAGAAGAAGAAGAAGAAAAAGAAGGGAATGGTGGATTTTTTTTAAAGGTAAATATTTTGTTATTTTTACATTTGTATATTTCATTGGGATCTGTGAATAATCCGTTTCGATCTCTCTCTCTTGCCACCTCCTCCCCCCCTCCCCCCAAGGTATGGATAAGATGGTTATCAATCATCTCGACAAGCTTTTCGCTGCCACCATTGGCAACAAGCTCGGAGTTCAGCACCTTGCTGCTAAGATCTTGGTTCTTACTGGCAATGCCCAACAAGAGGAATTTGGTGTCGGTGCTAAGTTGTGTGTCTCTTTTGCCGGGGAGCTCCTCCAAAATGCTGAGGACCTCATCTGAATGGATCTGGACCCCAGCACTATTTATGCAATTAACGAGGTTTCTTCCCCTGCCGCCATGTTTAATGCCTCTGCTACATGAGTTTAATCAAATTCTATGAAAAATGTGTTCGGTTATTCAGTCTGCTCTGAACAGCACTTGTTTTCTATTAACTGTGAAAACTTCCAAAATTTCTGGCTGTGCTTGTTTTTAAGAGGTTTCAGATCATGGCAAATTGTTTTATGCTTCTCATGATGAAAGTTAGGAAGGACACTACTCTTGTTGATTTATCTATGATTGATATTCATTCTTTATCAGGAGCATTAAAACTTTGCAATCATTCCTGTAGGTTGCTATATTTGCTGGAGCTGTTGATACAACCGCCACAGAAACAAAAGGAACTGCCTTAATCCACAGAGCTCAACAGGTATTAAGGGGGGCTTCTAGTCCTTTAGATCCTTGTTCGTAAAGACCTGAACTTGGTTTTTCAAAGACTAAACCCGTTTTCACATGGTATTTATAGTGTTCATCTATTTTGTTTGCTTTTGTGGAATTCTGGAGCATTTAGTAATCTATTCTACGTTAATGCATTCTCGTCTCAGAGTCTGGTAATTTTTAATCTGTTCTGCTTTTGCAGCTTGAAAATTATGCCAAGATTGGAGCAGCTAAGGTTGGGGAACTCATAAAAGCAATTGCAGGATCTGGTGCAAAGGTTATTGTTAGCGGAGCAGTTGTTGGAAAGATGGCACTACATTTTTGTGAGCGTTACAAGTAAGCCATTTTCTCTGCCTATTGCTTTTTTTTTTCCTTTTATGTATACAGAGAAATGAGAAGCCGAGTGCCTTTTCATTTCTGCTAACCTAGCCCATTGAAGGAATGGCTTAGTCGGGTGCCTTTTCATTTCTGCTAACCTAGCCCATTTTTGCCTTCATATCTCAGTATGAGGTTTCTGTACAGTAAGAGAGAGGTAAGAATATCATGTCCTTATGGGAATGAGGTAGGGCCTGAAAATATTGGCACATTCTGCATAGTAGACTACTGAAAGAACATGTGTATTGGTCACTTGTTTCGACTACTTTATATCTGCTTGAATTTCTTGGGAAACTCGAATAGGCAATTAATCAGCTTGAAACGTGATTACTTTCCTTTAGCTTTGTGTCATTTTGCGTTCCCTTACTCACGTTGGATACATTGCAGAAATTTTCCTTTATTAAGCGTATTTTGTACAAGAGAAGATGTGTAAAATCTTCTTGTTCCTAACTTTTTCCATTATCTCTATTGTTTTCCAATTTTTTTTAATTTTTTTGGGGGGGGGGGGGTAAGGTGGGTTGTGGGTTGGTGTTTGGTGGGACACGGTAATCATATTTGGAGTCTTGGACAATTTTGCATTTTCCTTGACCTGGATCTTGAATTGCCATCATCATGGTTCATCTTTTCATATGCATGCACAATACTTGCATCTGGAATATCACGTCATTTTGCTTAATTGTCTACTTGCCTGTGAACCTATTATGTTGAACAACTGATTAGCCAGTACATATCCTTTACAGGCTCATGGTCCTAATGATTAGCTCCAAATTTGAGCTTCAACGGTTTTGCCATACCACTGGTGCTGTTGCTCTTGTAAGCATCTTGCAGTCAGAGAGTATTAAGTTGTGAAACTTTTTGTATTGTTTCTGATTTTTTTTGTCATCTCGATACAGTTGAAACTTAGTTCGCCAAATCCAGATGATCTTGAATATGTTGATTCCATTTCAGTGGATGAAATTGGTGGTGTTAAGGTATGATAAGACAGCCCGTGGCGCTGTTACTCTCCAATATGTAGTTGTTTCAACTGCTTGTATATGATTTTTATGAATGATGAATAGGTTACAATTGTAAGAAATGAAGAAGGTGGAAATTCAGTATCCACAGTTGTTCTGCGAGGCAGCAGTATATTAGATGATCTTGAGAGAGCAGTTGATGATGGAGTTAATACATACAAGGTACCCTTTGCTGAATATAAAAGATATACATATGGAATGATGGGTTGTCTTCTAGATGCCTTTGCAAGTTGTTAACTATTTGCTTCTAGGTGATTTGCAAGTTTTTACTTGCAGTTGGGATCTAATAGACTTTGCTATTTCCATCTATACCAGGCAATATGCAGGGATAGTCAAATAGTACCCGGTGCTGCAGCTACTGAGATTGAATTAGCCAGAAGACTAAAGGAGTTTTCTTTCAAAGAAACTGGGTAATGCACTTCCTTGCAGTAAAGCATATATTGTTTTAGGTTATTGTAGCTGTGCTGAAGTGCAAGATATATCTTCACATGCTTGAGCAACTATTCTATCCATTTTGCAAGTGTATTTTTATAGTCCTTGTTTAGAGAAGTTTATGTGCATCTGCTTGTGGCTGCCAACTGTAACATACATCTTTTTACTATATACGTTTGTTTGATTATTTGCACGGGATAAGTTAAGGTTGAATAAATTATTGGACTTGCTTGTTTCTCATGCATTTTTTGGCTCAACTGCTGAATGATCCACTTGAAGAGTTAGTGTTCTGGCTCTATATGATTGAACAGTGTGCTGATCTGAGTTAGAGGACCATTTTATTGACATTAACTGGATGACAAGTGCTGCAATCTATTTCTGAAAGTGTTTTTGTTGAATGTTTATGCAAATATTTATTGGCTTCTCATAGCCTTTGGCATACTGTAACTCGTCTATTGTTTGCTTGATTTCTTGTCAATTAGTAAACTGAATTGTAGATGATTTGTTTGGTTGAGGCTCAGATTTTTCCATTGCCTTGCAGCTTAGATCAGTATGCAATTTCCAGATTTGCTGAAAGTTTTGAAATGGTACCTAAAACCCTAGCTAAGAAAGCTGGGCTTAATGCCATGGAGATCATAGCATCTTTGTATGCCGAACCTGCATCTGGGAACACCGGTGTTGACATCGGTTTGGAGTAGGGGTGAGCAGATCCGGTTCGTACCGAATTCATAACCGATTTCAAATTCAATTCGGTAATTTGAAATCGGGTATTTGGTAATTCGGTTCCAATTCGGTGAATACCGAATTCACGAATTCTAATATGGTATAAAATAGGTAATGAGATTATGAATTTGGTAATAACCGATTTCGAATTCAAAATTCGGTAATTGAAATCGGGTACCGCATTACAGCATTCGAATACCAAATTGATATATAAAATTATATAATATATAGATAAATGCTATTTAGTATTAGTATATACTACTAATACTTTATTATATTATATAGGTAAATGTTATTAATAATAATTACTATATGGTATTATTATCATATCATGTACTTATAATACTAATAATATATAATGATGTACAATATATTTATATTATTTTAGTATTTATTAATTGTTATATGACTACAATAATGCATAGTAATACATTACAATATAAGATAACTATAATACTTATTATTTTATACATGAGTAACATGGCTAGAATTAGATAATAATTAATACATATTTGTATAATACTAAATATTAAACAATAAACATAATTAGTAATTAGAATTTAGATATTGGTAATTTGATACATCATTCATGTTTGAATTATTGAATATTTGAATGCGTAATCTATAACTTGCAAGTATTAGTGTACTCTAAATTTACATTACATATTCACAAATCTTAAGGCTTTAAATATAGATAAGACAACTAAGCAGTGTAAGTGAATGTACATGAATTGCAAATCAATGTATTAGTGTATTGACTTTCACAATAACATATGTAAATAAATAAGTTTAATTTTGATTTGAAATAAATTAAAAGTTTGTAACTAACATAACTTATCACTAATCATTGTAATTTGTAAGTTTGTAACTAATATTACTTATTATTAATCATTGTAAATTATAAATTCATAAATTATTACTAACCATTGTACAGTCTAAGGTTTATTATAGTTTAAATTAATCACTTTTTATGTGTTCCTTAAATCATAGACTAAGGATTGTAGGTATAAGTGATCAAATAAGTTAAAAGTTCATATTATCTATTTACTAATCTTAAAGTTTTAAGTATAGACAAAATAACTAAGCAGTGTAAGTGAATACATGTGAGTTGCAAATCCAGTAATTAAGTTTTATTTTGATTTGAAATAAATTATAAGTTTGTAACTAATGTAACTTATCACTAATCATTGATTCATTGTAATTTGTAAGTTTGTAACTAATATTACTTATGATTAATCATTGTAAATTATAAATTCATTGTAACTACTAACTAAATTAGTTTAAATTAATAACTTTTTATGTGTTTCTTAAATCATATACCAAGGATTTTAGGTATAAGTGATCAAATAAATGCCAATTAAACCACAAAATGATTTGAACATAAATAATGTGTTCAATTATGAATAAATTTGGGGATCAAATTAGTAATAATTTTTAAATCATTGAGGAGCATAATGAATGTATTATAATTTAGGAGCCCTAATTTGTAAATTTAAAATTACAAAATCACTTCATTTGGAAAAAGTCCGATTTCATCTTCAGCTGATGAAAATTGAAAAGTGAGAAAACAACCATTGCAAATTTGCAATATTGCATAGTGCCGTGACTGCCGTCACCTACGGCTTTCACAGCACTAACACTCCCAAGTCCCAAGTCCCAATTCCCAAATCGAAGCTGCTCTCTGCCTCTCCGGCCTCCGCCAGTCCGCCGCGCTCTACGTCTCCTGTTGGCTGTGTCCTGCCGTGCTGGTTCATCTCTGCCGAGTGTCGAAGACGAAGCACCAAGATCTCACTAGTTCATCGCTGGTTCATCACTGCTCATCTCTGGCTCACTTAGGTAAGTGCTCCTCTGTTTTTGGCTCTGTGTCTCTGGCATTAAAATGGGCCAAGATCGACTAGGAAATTTGTTATCCTGAATTGATAAGGGGACGAAATCTGAGCTTCCAATTGCAAACTCTAACTGTTGTAGTAGTTTAGATTAGGTGTGATATAACATAAGCTTTGTATTTTATACACAAGAAGCTCTCTCCAGTTGTGCAGCCTTTAAAAGTTAAGGCCTTGGGGAAAAATTCCACCTTTTACCCGTTAGAAAAATTATAAAGAAAAAAACTTGCTAAAATGAAAATTTTACCTCCTTGTCCGTGGAGATTCTCAATCTCTGGTGCACATCTAGTGAAAGTACGGCTCCAGAAGTTGTACCTAGGATTCTGGATATGAATTTTCTGCAATGTGTAAAAGAGAAACATCTAATGGCTTGCGGGGGTTGGTAGTTGCTGAACTATAAAGATTGGTTTATATATTCTCTTAATTTGCTGCAGGTTTTTTTTTAAATAATAGATGAATTCGGTTAGACCGAATTCATTACCGTTTTCGAATTTGAAATCGGGTACCGCATGAATTCGGTAATGCCCAATTCGAAATTGAAAACGGTTTAGATTTCTATAGGTGCAATAACCGAAAAAACCGAATTCAGCGCACCGATTTACCGCATTTGCACCGAATGCTCACCCCTAGTTTGGAGGAAGGCGTCTGCAAAGATGTCTCCACAACCAGTGTATAGGACCCATATACCATAAAGTAAGCTTTTTTCTTATATTGCTGAAATCCACATTCAATTTTTTTCTAGCATAGAGGGTTCAATTTTGAAGATTGAGAGCAATTTTTACTTTTAAAGTCATTCTTGGATTAAGCATTAAACCTTGCTGGTGAAGGTTGTTCAGAAGATTGTTTAGCAATTTCTAGTGACCTGCATATGTCATGCATATTAAAGGCTACCACCTAACTAAATCTAGCTTCTGTGGAGCAACGTAAACAAAAGCTCAATGGAGATCCTGAGCTCTGTCGATCTTGGTCATTGGATCCTCAACATTAATCAAAAGATCCAAGCAGCCCAGTTGTGCATGAGCTTGTGAAAACTGGAGCTGATACTCAAGTGCTTGCTTGCTTGGGTTTTTTTCTGCCCATGAAGGAGATCCTTTTTAGTTTACTCTCCCTGGGATTGATGCATTCTAGAATATTCTTCAGCAACTCGAGCTATTCTGAAATATCAAATTTAATGAAGTGTCAGATGGTTCTTAACTAGGGATTTGATTCAATTGATAGGTTTTTTGCTCTCAAATATGCTGCTGATGCTGTTTGTACTGTCATGCGTGTAGACCGGGTAAGACATTCTTGGCATCTTTACTTTTCTTGTTTGTAACGTTGTTGTCATGATACTGGTGGTGAATTACCCATTTTTGTGGTTTATGCTGCATTTAGTTGACTTTTTTTTTTTAATATGAAAGAGTTTCACTTGGTGGTAGAGAATTCAATGTAGTTTATGGAGCGGATATGCAATAATTGGCAGGATTACTTGGTAATTGGTGCGTAGGTGATGGCCATGGTTTTAGGTATAGGTTTTCAGTTGATCAAGTTATTTTGTGGGTTGTGTGATTGTCTTTTGAATTCACTGCCTAGAAGTTTCCCTTACTGGGGCTAAGTGAGGATATAGGTGAATTTGCAGAGACTTTCCAAGTGTGGAGATCTTAGATCTCCTAAGTGGATCAGAAGTCATGCATGATGACAGGATTTCTTGGGCATGCTAAAAAGCTCATACTATACCCTATCACTAGTTTCAAAAGAAGGCTTGGGTTAACCACAATATTTAAGTATAGTTGGAGATTCTTGTAGTTATTTTGCCTCAGTTCGGGACACTAAGGTCCCATAAGGAGGGTCTAAACGGTGCTGCTGTTGTTAATAATTATGGATGCCTTTGCTGGAAATTTTGATCATAAATCTCATCTGACTTTTAGTAGGTGCAATGCAATATTTTCAATTGCTTTGATATTGCTACAACCAGCAAAAAGAACAATATTTTCCATCAAAATCCACAGCAATGCATTTTGGTCTAAAACATGTGCATTTGATCCACCCACAGAATGATGGAAATGGTTCTTCTCATGTTTCAACGTTAAGAAGTTTTCGTCATCTTTTACAATAATTGTGATTATGTGTTGTGTACTGGTTTCCCGATACAGATTATAATTGCAAAACCAGCTGGTGGTCTGAAAAGAGATCCTCCTATGGAGATGGATGGATGGATGGATGGATGATGGAGTGTTGAATATGAATGTAAGAGTGCTTTAGATTTTGCTTCTAGTTTTCTGGGCCTCTAGTTTCCTGTGAATATGAAAAGAGATCCAACAACTGAAAGCCCATTGCCCATTGCAGTCGGCTCTCACACATGAAGCTGGTGCAAGGTTTTTGCCTACAACAGATGAAACTTAGTAGTATTATAATTTTAGTACAAAACTAAGACAAAATGGATTTTGACAAAGATAAATAAATAATTAAAACAAAATGGATTGATATGTTTTTAACACTGAGAATAATCATTCATACACACCTTAGCTAGCTAGTCTAAATGTATAACAACAAATCATAGTAGCAGGATTGCCGGGATCTGATTTTATAATTATGGGTTCTGCATTTTTGCCTAAAATTTGGAAGAGAGAGAGAGAGAGAGAGAGAGAGGTTTGGTAGAGTACCTTGGGGTCTCCGCAAGTGAAGGAGCAATCAATTTGTCCCGGGTTTGCATTCTTGATGACTATAACTAGGAAGTGACAAAATGGATATATGGTTGATAAATAATTTTAGTTAAATAGATAATGGATCAAATTGATCCAATTCAATTAAAACTATTTAATAAATGGATCTAAATGGATGTCATTTAAATGGATAGTGTAAACCATGATCCATCCATTTATCCATTTACTATCGCAAATCCTAAATTTAAGATCTAAATATTTTTTTTTTCCAAAAAATACATATCCCAAAAGTTCTATCCTTAAATCACCTAAAACTTTTTGGTAATAACAAATGCTTGTACTATACTCTATTTCAGTTTTTCATAAAATTAGTTTACTTTCAAGAAAATTTAACTGTTGTAGTCAATTTAACCTTTCATCATTACTTTAAGTATCATTTTGTAAAGTAATGAACAATTAAGAATCCAGCTCTGTCTGTTGGACTGTCATATTTTTTCTGTCTGTTGCTTGCAGCATATTTCCGATAGTGCTTCCAATCTCTGAAACCCTTTACCGGGCAGTCACTCATCTTGTGTTCGGACAGTGATTGGGCTGAGTGAAAGCGGCTCCCACATGTGCAGCGAATCAAATGTTTCTCTGCAATCTTGTGCTTAAGCTTATAATGATCATCCAGTTGTTTGAGAGTTTTAAAAGATTTCCCGCATCCGTCTTCTCTGCAGCGGCATTGTTTAGTTAAAAACCGGAGCTCCTTTCGCTTCAAATGATCAGTTGGCCGTTTGGATTTCCATCGGAATTGGATGGAACGGGAAGGAGTAAAGTGGGGTGGGGAGTTGGGGAGGACGAAAAGAAAGAGTTTAATGGGGTGATGGTGGTGGATGGTGGTAGTGGAAGGCGGTGGAGTTGGGAGTTGGGAATGGAAGGTGCACGGCAAAAATTCTTCTCAACAAGCTGCGCGACATAGTCTCTTTCCAGAATGATACCGGAATGGATTTGATTTCACTCGCTCTCTTATTCTGGATTTGATTTCCAGAATGAACATGATTTCGGTCGTAGTATAGGTGCATGAAGCCATCCGTTTCAACTAAACGTACTGTCAGTAAGATTTGTGCGTGGGATGAATGATGAGGAGAAGTAGCCTCCTCCTTCATTTTCACTTGTACTTTGAACCAAACGAAGGTTATTATGGACTATTATGTAATGACGCATGTCCAGAACATTTCGTTTTGTCCTCCTCAAGCTATATCTCTCTCCCTTCCCAATATACATCGTTTTAAAGTGAATTTTGCTAACCTATGACACAACTCATTTTCTTCTCTATATATAAAGGAGAAATTGCATTGGTCAAAAAACTCCCTCGACTTTTGTATATTCTCCAATATCACAACATAGATGCATGCAGTCGTTGCAGGAATCTATTGTAACGCAGTCTATCACACTTTTGCAATCCGATTGTATTTTAATCTTCCTTCAACCTGCAACTTTTCCTAATTACATAGCTGTTCAGATTGCCAAAGCCGCAATGGAGGCTTAGTCCAAACGTAACTTCACGGGTTTCGGGATGGGGGAAATAGTTTCTAGAATTGAGAGTAGTTGAAGTTGGTTTGGTTGGCACTTCCTTTTCTGTTTTCTGTTTATGTCGAAGCTGAATTTGGCATTTATATTCTATGTTTTCTCATTCGGGTTTAGTGTTTAAGTTGTTTGGATAGTTCCAATATCTCAAATAATATTTCGCTTGCATCATAAACATATTTTCCAATCCACCTTTTTATATTTTCAATCACTTTTTTATCTCACATACATCATATCACAAAAAGTGCTATAGTAATTATTCCAAATAATATTTCAAATAATACCCTATCCAAACGATAATGAGTATGTTTGGATAGGCATTTTTTGGCTTATTCCAAAAAATATGTCAAATTGGTGTTTGGATAACAAAGAGTAGACCAGAATAATATACATGTACATTCCATCTCGTATGTTCCAGCATGGACATTATGGTCAAAACCAAATCTAGTTGATGCTTGAAGTGTAGGCCCACGTGGACATATACTTGGCGTACCGATTCGGAGTTAACAAGTCTTGACCGACAGGGGCCCTCCACTTCTACTGTGTTTCACTTGCTTACAGTTACATATTTTGTACCGTTGCACCTTCCGTCTGAGTAAAGCAAAGGGAAAGCTGCTCCATCAAAGCCTTCGTCAGAGAACTTATTCGGCTGAGCAGCTCTTTCGCTGAGCAATTACTTCATCATCCAACCTATTCAACGACTACATCATGAAGGCCTTTGGAAACTATCAGGAAAACTGAG